GTGTGTGTGTCTTCATTATTGATCAGTGGTGGAGGCTGATACGATGTAGAATGTAAACAGAACTAACAGTAGAATGAGTAATAATCCTATAATGTAGTTACAGCACATGTCACAGCTCAGTGAACTTTCATTTGAAACAGGACAGGCCATTCTCGTGACTTTGTTCATAATGTGACTGAAATGTAGATAATAGCTGTGTTTCCATCCAAAACTGCACATTAAATGTGTGTGCAGAACTGGAATATGGCATTAAAGACGTGCGATTATACACAGCCAAATCCTCAGAGGGAGTTACTCAGTTCAGAGAGTATTTGGTCCGTCTGTAAATTGAGTAACTCAGGGACCAAACACTCTGAACTGAACCCTCAAAACACACAGACATAAAGAGTCAGCGTACGCTTCTCAACTATAGTGAGCTTTGTTTTCCTGCAGTGCATGCTGGGAGCTATGGGTGAATGTGGTATGAGTCTTTTACCATCCACTGCAGCCAAAACAAGTAAGACATCTCTCAGCACTGTTAAGATAGACACGCTGATCATTGATCTCTGTCTCTAGAGTGATTCAGATGCTCAATGTGTTTTAAAAATAAGCACAGCTGAGGTCCATTCTCCTAAAAACACTGAATTATGTTTCTTAATGATCAACCATCATTTAAATATAGTTTGCAGAGTCAGGCATAATCTCTTATATTTCTCACCAAGAGTAAGAATCAATACAGAATCAGTCAACCTGATCATATTTACTCTCTTTATTCTTATCATAACAAGCAAAGACTAATCAACACTAGAATTTGAGTCAAAGAGCCCAAGTAAATCCACCACCTTCCTGCACGATGGTGACATCAGAAATGAAGTCAAACAGGTGGGCAATGAGTGAAGCTGCTGCTGCTGCTCTTCTGCATATTAACCGCAGGTGTTCATCATCAGCACTTAATTAACCCCCTCATTGTCTCGTTAACTTGAACTCTGCTGTTGAGTAAATTTAACTCCATTTAGAGAGAGCAAATACTCTCTGAACTGAGCAACTTTTACTGTGAGGAGTTTGCTGTGGGCTGGAGATTAGCTCTTGTCATTGGGGGGACGTACATCCCTAGAGCGCATGCATAGAGCAGCACACATTCACACTTTTAAAAACATGAATAAAATACCCAATAATGTCAAATAAACACTTAATAATACAAATAACAATCCCGCTCCATGCTGCAAGAGTCAGTTACCATGATTGTACTGCAGTCGGGCTTTGAGCAGGTAGAGAGGTGTGGAGAGGTGTGTGACGCAGTTCACTGGTTTGCAAAACTGATTGGCCAAATGCAAAACTATTTTGAGTGATTGGCACTGCCGTGGGTAATAGTATAACGGTCAACTAGTAGCAAACTGGACTTGGTTCACATGTAGGTTAAGAGTTGACAGAGCAGTACTTTATTTTGAATTCGATTAAATTGTTGGTGAAGGCATTTCAGGATTGCTGGATATTGGTGGGGACACGTCTCCTCCACCCATGCCAGTTCTTCGCTGTAAATAAAGCAGCGTTTCCATCCGATGAATCAAAGAGAACTAAATCACCACTTCCTGATTCACTGACAACAGATATCAACATTAAACACAGAATTGGAGAAGCTGAGCAATCTGTTCTTTATTTAATAAATGACTTTCACCTCAGAGGATAATGCCGACACACAATGAAAACATCTACAGCCCTGAGACGCAGAGAACAGACAGTCCTGCCACGCTGCAGGCGCTCTGGAGGTCATTAATATTATAAAAACACTGATGCTGAAGTGGTTAAAGCCTAGTTCACACTACAGGATTTTAAACATCAGCAGATTGCTGTGCTGTTCACACTACAAGACTTGACTTTGTGTCTTTTAATCTCTGTGGTGTTCACACTACGCAACACTCTGTGAATGATCCACAAGAGGGGGATCACACACTACATGATCTGACAACATCTCATTCCCCATCAGCTCATTCAAGCTACCAAACCACAGCCAATGAAATGTTGAGGGAGGAGTCAGCAGAAAAAGCTGAACACTATTGGCTGCTTGTGTGCTGATGACATCACTGACAGCATTTCAAGCTTTGGAGAAAGCATTTAAAAACATCGTCAAATCAGCTGATTTATGAGCGGATTAATCACTCATCTGCAGGCTCCAGTGGAGAGATACACAGAGAGTTTTAAATTTTTGTAATTTTATAACTCTTTGAAATAAAACTAACATATTTATTAACATATTTATTACTAACACCCTGCCGTTTTCTAACTATCAGTGTATTTCTTTCTGACATTGTTTTTTTATTTATTACAAAACAGTAAAGAACTGAGCATTTCTGCTTTTAATTACCATATTGGTCAAAATGACTGCATGCATGTCTGATACTTTTCGCTGTGACTTATGTGTGCATTTACTTGCCTGGCAACTTCCTGCTAACATAAACAAAACTTTCTGATGGCAAAAACATCAATTTACTTCAGATATCTTTCAAAACAGCATATTCTGTGC